GTCTGCTCCTCTGCTGTCCCCATGCACCCCCGTGCTGCCGTCAGCCTGTCCCTAACGATGCTCGTCGCCTGGAACTTGCATTTCATCCCCTAAACTGGCATTTCATCCCCTAAACTGGCATTATTTTACATTTCTGCAGATCTCCTAAATATCTGCCATGAGAGTGTCAGTCACTCAGTCATGTCTGACTCACGACCCCATGGCTGTAGCCTTCCAGGCTCTTCTGTTCATGGGATTCTTTAGGCAAGAACACTGGAGTGTGTTGCCATCCCTTCTCCGGGGATCGAACCTGGGTCTCCTGCATGGCAGGCAGATTCTTTACCAGCTGAGCCACCAGGGAAGCCCTAATATCTGACATAGTGGGAAATAAATGGATCCTCAAACACGTTCCATTAGCTGTCAGAGCAGTGCCTCTCAGGTCCCGCCTGCCCCTCCTTCCGGATTCCCTTGAGAGCACTTAGAGACCCACTCCTCTGTAGAGAGCACAGAAAAAGACCCAGGAAGGTGGTGCTCATGGTGTTCCTCCTACCATGGTGCCCAACAAAGTAGACGCTCAACAGAATTGCTGGGTAAATAGATAAAATACACATTTTAACCTTAAAAGACTTTGTTATTCGTGTGTTCAGTTCATTTTTATTAGAGTTGCAATATTCTTTCTTTGACATGGCAGCTTTAACTCTACAAGCTTCCATGAGAGACTTGGAGCTTTGAGGCATCCAACACTCAGATATCCAAGCCAGAAACAGCTCATTTTTGTTGACAAAAACTAAGAAAAGGGTGTGTAACTAATTTTAAAAAATCTCCAACCAATGACCAAGAAGCAAATGTGTGTTTATTGCTTTATAAATGTTTATTGCAGATTATCCTGGGCAGTTGAGAGGTCTTGCTGGTGACTAATTTTTCTGTAAAGTATTTGCCTTACCTCCTAATACTGCTTCTGTATGTGTTCCTCTGTAGGTTTATTCATAATAACTACCTACTAATTCATTGAATTTGGTGTATTTTATTAAATTCTCTACTGATGAACACTTAGATTGTTGCAATCTGTTTGTTTTAACTTTGCTGTTGTGTATGTTACTTACTTGCTGCCCTTCTGACTATATCTTCTTCTCCCTCAGAAGTACATTCCTGCTCTCTTCAGAAGTGAAATTCTTAGCATACAAAAAGTGTATGTGAGAGATGGCATGTGTGTGTGTGTGTGTGTGTGTGTGTGTGTGTGTTGTTGTTAAGTGGCCCTTCAGAAAACATTGTACCGGTTTTGATTTGGTGAATTTTTTATTTTGCTTATGATGAAGATGAGCATTGTGAATTCCTCACACTGACCTTGTCAAACCTGTGTAAGTCCACTCGTTGGCATTAGACAGTGTTTAGCATTAGGAATGGGGCTTGTGAACAGATCATCTTCAAAACTATAAGGGAAGAAATGGGCTTTCAGGATAGCAAGCATCATTACCTTACTCTCCAATGCAACAGAAAGTAGGATCCTCAAAATCCTTTTCAAAGGATATTACAATCTTGTGAACAGACTCAATAGGTGACAGTGTTATTTTCACATCTTCTTCAATACACCAAGACAGTAAAAGAAAAAGCATTAGCACCTGGAAAGAAAACTTCACTGTCACAGAATTCTACATTAAATCATCAGAGCTCTGAACTGAGCTGTGACCTGTAGTTACAGATCTCAGTGGAAGAAAATTATAGTTGTTTAAGTCACATGCACCGATAATTGGAAAATTGTAACAGATATTACTTTGTGCTGTGTATTTTGACACATTTAATAGTATCCATTCATTTAGTGATATTGTTCTGCATGTGTTCCCTCACCATCCAGTCTCATACAATACTCTAAGTACGCTCATATCTGAAATATTATTATAAATTAATTAGGTTGCATTTGAAGTATGAGATATATCATTGCAAGAATTACTGTATCTTAATCATTTCTATAACTCTAGAATTTGTTTCCTTATGTATCTCTTAATTTATTTTAATGATTCAAGGTAATAAGATAGTATTTATTGGTGGAAATCATTGCTGCTAGAAAATTTGACATTTTAGAAAGTCTGTATGTATTTTTAGAGAAATGGCTCTGCACCCTTCATTTGTATCAGATATCAGATCAAATTATTTTTTAATAAACATATCCAGTTTTATTTGTCAATCATATCTCAATGAAGCTCAGGAAAAAGAACAATCACCTAAGGTTATATTTTTTAAATAACAGCTCCCAACCCCCACCTCCACACCTGAGATTCTAGTGTAATAAGTCTGAGAATGGTCCCTAGAAAATGCATTTTTAAAAATTCAACATTATATAAGTTTCAGGTTTATAGCATAGTGATATAATAGTTTTGTACATTATACTCCATTTCAAGTTATTATGAAATAATGACTATTTGCCCCTGTGCTATAAAGTATATCCCTGTTGCTTATTTATTTTATACAAGTAATTTTTATCTGTTAGTCCCCACCCGTTTGACCCGCCTCCTAGTTCCTCTTCCCACTGGTAACAACTATTTGTTCTCTGTATCTGTGAGCCTCTTTCTGTTTTGTTATATTCATTTGTTGTTTTTTTCCCTAAGATTCCATATATAAGTGATAGTGAAGAGTGTTTTTATGAATATCAGATCAAGATATACCAGATTATATCAGATCAAGATGAGTATACTTGACTGGAAGATTTATATGAACAATTAGCATTCTTTCTGCATCAGGTCCTGAGTCTCATCCTCAGAAGTCTTCGTAGCTTGGCGGTACCCTCTCCTTGCCCCCAGCGCATGTCAGCCAGCACACCCACGTGCAGCACGCATGCGCGTGGCTCCTCTTTACTGTGAAGCTCTGTCCTTCTCGGGGTGCGTCCACTTCATCAGCTCTTCCTCTAAACCACGTTTAACTGGGAAGTGGGGTTGTGTGGGCTAGTGGTCGGTCCTTCTTAAACATGCTTGCTGCAGACCCTCCTAGCCAAGTTCTTGAAAGTACAGCCTGAGACCCACCTCATAAGAAAAAGACTCCGGGGGCAGGGCCATAGTTCTCCTCTCTAACCTTTCTGATCTTCAGTAGCCACTTGGAAACCCTGGTTTAGGTGACCGAGCCTCATCCTGAAAGTATGGAGATAAGATCCAGAGTTTTGTTCCAACAGAGAAATGTAATCATCATGTTATACTGTTGCTTTGAGAGGATGCAAATGCAAATACTGCTGATGCTTCTTCGCAGATAAAGTATTGGGACCTCAGGCAGGAAAGACAGGGTACCTTGAAAATTTTAAAGGACTCATCATGTAGAAAGAGTCCATAGCAGGGGTCCCCAGCCTCCAGGCCATAGACTGGTGCCAGGCAGCAGCCTGTTAGGAAGGGCTGCAAAGCAGGAGGTGAGCGTGGACAACTGAGAGAAGCTCCATCTGTGTTTACATTTGCTCTCCCTTGCTCTCATTACCACCTCCCAACAGATCAGTGGTGGCTTAGTAAATGGAACATGCTTAAATCATCCTGAAACCATTCCTCACCCTCCAACCCCAGTCCATGGAAAAATTGTCTTCCATGAAGCCAGTCCCTGGTGCCAAAAAGGTTGGGACCACAGCTTTTTTTTTTTAAATACTCATTAATTCAGCAGATATTTACTGAGTTACTGTTTAGCATCAGTCATTGTTCACAGAGGTTGCATTCTGATTGGAAGAGAAGATAACTTTCTGTTCAACAATGACAACAGAATACCATTCAGACTTAAAACAGGGGAACGTGAAGTTGCCTGGGACTGTTTTAGAGTGTGTTGCAGGGAAGACCTGGCCTTCAGTGAAGCTCAGGAGGTTTAAGGTAAACTAGAAGGCCAGAGCCGAGTGAAGACCGGGAGGAATCTCAGCCGGCCCCGAGGAGGGAATGGGCTCGGCAAGTTTGAAGGGGAGAAGGCAGGCCAGTGTAACGCAAGCAGGGCAGGTGCATAGAGGCGGGTTCAGAAGAAGCAGGGGACCCAGCAGGCGCCTGGTTGGATGCAGCATGGAGGCCAGTGTTGGGAACCAGCTGGTGGGTGGTTTTCAGGGAAGTCCATGTGATCATCAAAACCTTTCAAACTGCCCTCTGGGTTGCTCTGTGTAGAATGGATGGTAAGGGGACAGGAGAGGAAAGAAACCCAGAGAATTTAGGAAGTTAGGGGGCCATTCCACGAGCTATGGTAGAGATGATCTTGGCTTGGACTCTGGCTGAAGTAGAGATGGTGAGGAGTGTAGTCAGGTCATTCGATGTTGCAGAGTAAAGGCAACTTCACTGATTAGGTGACTTGGTTAGCAGCCTCAGATGATGGCTTTTTAGTGTTAGCTCAGATCATTTTAAGGAGGTTTCATACAAAACTCAGAAATTCTGACTCCTGTTTTAAAAAGCCAGAGTATCTGCCTACATGAAGACTGAACTCCCATATGGGAACAGATGTCGGAGAGGAGTACTGGCTTCCCTTTTAGAGGGCTGCGTATACTGTGGTTTACAAAGACCCGTCTCCATGTCCCCCTGACAGCGAGGCTGTTGTTGGATCCCCTTCATCATCAGCTTATCCTATTGTTTTTCTTATATCATGCCCACTTAATTTTCCATACCCTCTAGGCCTTTTAATATGTGGAGCTCCCCTCTGATACTCTGAAATTAAAGTGGCAAGTAAATGCATCGTGCTTTAAGGTACCTGTGAACCCCTGTGGAGCTGGAAAATAGCCTCTTTAGCAGAATACTAACAAATCCTGGCATTCTTTAAAACTAGCTTATTTCATGTGCCCTAAGCCGGTGGTTACTCTTGGGAGCATTGCCTGGAAACAAGAGAAAGGCTCTGGTTATGCTATCCGTGTGCTCTGGTTACACGGGCGTGTGCACTTTGTGAAATGCACTCATGCACGCTTCTATATGCACACTGTGTGTATCATGCTTCAGTCATAACTGAAAGCTAGTGTCAGTTTTTAAGAATAGTGTCCAGCGCAAACATCCTTGAGTGTTGCGGTTTTCACAGATTGCCTCTTGCTCTTTCAGCCAAGCCAAAGCCATGTACTCCTGCAAAGCAGAGCACAGCCATGAGCTTTCCTTCCCACAGGGGGCGCTATTCTCTAACGGTAAGTCCACCCGTTCCCTGCGCTAAGGTTACCGTCCTGAAGGACGCAGGAGCAGTCTAAAGTAAAAACCTGGAGACTCAGGATCCAGCCCAGGCCCTGCCTTTTGTAGCTGTACCAGTAAACACATCAGATTCCCCTGGAACAGATTTCCTCTCCCGTGTCAGAGAGAGAGAAAGTGAAAGTGTTAGTTACTCAGCGTGTCTGACTCTTTTCAATCCCTTGGACTGTGTAGCCCACCAGGCTCCTCCATCCATGGGATTCTCCAGGCAAGAATACTGGAGTGGGTAGGCATTCCCTTCTTCAGGGGATCTTCCTTACCGGAGTGATTGGTTATATGAATGCAAAAGGCATTTCCAGCTTTACAGGTCCTGTGACGTTGTTTTGACAAATTGAGTAAATGCATACAATCTAATGTGGATTTTTAGCCATTTGTGTGTGTAATTATTTGAAGCTAATGTTGACTGAGTGATATTTATTAATGTATTTTTATCTTTGCCAGTGTACCCATCAGTGGAACCAGGATGGTTGAAGGCAACTTATGAAGGCAAAACAGGACTCGTCCCAGAAAATTATGTTGTCTTCCTCTAATGCTATTTAGTGGACGGCAGTATCTTCATGGTATCCATGGTAACAAGTAATAAGTGCTATGATTTTATCTGACACAGATATGAGGATCAGCCCATTAAAATGAAAAATAATCCATTTCTAGCGAGTTTTCCACAGCAGAATATGTAGCTCCATTAACGGAAAGGGGAAAAAAATGTTTAAGTTTTTGCCATTCTTTTTTATCTTGGGCTGATTTCTTATTTTGAAATAGCTTATCCCCATCCCCTGCTTTTTTTCTTTTAATAAGTAACTCTCCACAATGTCTCTTTCATAACATTTATAAAAATCTCAAATACTGTGTTAAGTACTACATCCCAGAAATCTGGAAACCAGAAATCTGCTATAAGACTTTTAAGACCTGCCCTTTACTGTCCAGTATTCTCTGAGAAACCTTGAAATCATTGCTAAAAAAATGTAATTTAAGCTGTTCATTTATTATTTTTTCTTAAAAATATACTACTTTTATATATGATTGTTTTGCTGGTCCTAAACATTTCAAGGAAATAAGGGGGTTTTTTTTGACATAAGTTTATTTTTATTTGTTTACCAAGTAGATGATAATATTCAAAAGCAATAATGTATATGGTGTCTGTAAATGAAACCAAGTCATACACTGATTCTGCTGTAAACACTCTGTCCAGCATTCCAGATGCCGTCTATGTGCTTAGAGCAGGGATCAGCAAACTACTTCTGCAGAAGCTTAATAGGAAATACTTTGGGCTTGGCAGGACCTGTTGTCTCCATCACCCTGTTCAGACTGCCGTTGTAGTGGAGAGTAGTCACAGACAACACATGAATGGGTGTGCCTGTGTATCAATACAGCTTTCTTTTGTGACGCTGAAGTCTGAAATTGTGAATCTGTCATGCCATAAGATATTAAGCTTCTTTGACTTTTAAAAAAATCCATTTAAAAATAGAAATTTATAGCTGATGTGCCATACAAAAGCAGGTGGCAAGCCAAATTTGACTTATGGGTCATGGTTTGCTGATCCCTGGTTTGAAGGATGTGTAAAACTGTCTGTATTTGAGATTTTATGAAATTTTACTCCATTAACATATAAATACTAAGTGATATGCACATACCCTCTGCTAGAATCAGTATAGTGGTATCACACATGTGTAATTACAATGATAGGAAAATGATGGAAAAGTACAGTATACAAGCATACAGCTTAAATTCTACTTGTTATTCTGTAAAGTGTCCAAGGATTTTATTGATACCCTTTTGGCTCCAAATGATAAAGATGATGTGTTAAGACAGTAGTTGGAAGACTATGCCTTCTAAAGTCTGTGATTAGTTGAGGCATAATCTTAACATAAAGGTACAGGATTCTTAAATTATTTTGAAATTATTTCATCATCTTTAGCAGGAATAAAGTCATATAAAATTTTCCATTATGCCTTTCGATTTACAGCCTTTAATAGAAATTTCACTGTATTTATAGAGCATAGAAATAGGTATTTACTATACATTTATATATACCATAATTATCTGGTCATATGTTGACCACTTCTTCTATTATTTCTATTTAACAACCCTCATACTATTTCTAACATATCTGCATGTGGCAAAGAGCCTTTCTTCTCAAGATTCCCAAAAGCTGGTTCTCTGCCATGGATTGCCACAGCACTGGCCCGCTTGGCCACAGTATTGTACATGCTACTTCAAAGGTCTTCACTGTATAGACACTCAGGTATTGACTGTAGACAGTTCTTCTTACATGATACTGCTTTGTAATCTCCATCTCTTCTACTTTAAGTTAATGTTTCTAGAGTTAATAGGTATATTATATACATACACAACTATGCCTTGGAGCATTTATGCTTTTAAAATTAAAAATGGAATAATGGATTAGGATTTAGAGGTAAATAGAATAACAGTAGGCAGAATTACAACCAGAAATAAATATCAGCATGGAAATAAAGGAATGGAAAATATTTAATGTTGTAAAAATCAGTAATATAATGAAAAAATCAGATACATTTGTCTCCTTTTTTTTTTTTTTACCTGCTACTGTTGATTTTTGTACACTATGATTATGCGTTGCTAGAGCTTCTTGGCCTCTAGATCCTTGGTGGTCCTTAGTAATTGCATTGCTGACATCCTGACTGCCCTCTGCTGGAACAGAGGTGGTCTCTCTAAGGGACCTGGTTCTTCATCCACAGCACCCTCAGTTTAAGCACCCTTGCTAGCATCTGGCATCCTACTAAATTAAAGCCTCTTAAGGCAAATTGATTTTCTTTCAAAGACCAACTTGACTCTGAAAAGAGATTCAGAGTCCTTCTTCACTTGCTGCTGCAGAGAGAAATCTCAACCTTCATTTTCCTTTAACATGGCCAGCGTGTTCCTGCCTCTGAGTTGTCTGTGAGCTAATTCTACAGATGGTCAGTGAGGAATTAAACCTTTTGCTCTTAAAAGTCATGGGCATGAAGCCCCTCTCCTTCTTTATGGTGAGTCATATACTGTGACAGTACTTGATATGGTCCCTTTTTGAAATAAGCTGCGAAATGCTTGTCCCAGTTATGCTTTTGTTTGAAGTTTTAATCTCCCAGATTTGTGAGAATGGTTCTTTTTCCTTCACATTGATTGTTCATGGAAGCAAGTCATGGCCCTATGCTACCGCTCAAATGAAGCTGCTTTTCCCTAGAAATGTTTCCAACAGATAAAAGTATTTATGAACATTGAGAAAACCAGGGCATGTGCTGTGATCACATGGAATAGTCATTACACCAGAAGGTACATGCCAGTCACTACAAGAAGATCATATTTGAAATGACAACAGTGTTTCGGTAATGAAACTGTAGCCTTTCAGAGACTCAGTGAAGATACTTTAGAATTGCCACATCCACACCTTGGAAACTTCAGGCCAGGTGGGCACCCTAATCACTGCTGACAGTAGAATAAGGGTGCGGAGACTCACGAGTCCAAGGCAGTCATCTCATCTGTTAGATGAAGATATCCTTGAGTGCAAGACCTCGCTGTGTTTCAAGGTGACTCTTGTACCACAGCTGCCGGCTTATAAGCAGGAGTCGGTTAGGTGAAGGCTTTTTGTTTTGTGTGAATGCCTGAGCAGTGAGATGATCTCTGTATCGCTCTGAAGTCTGTGAGGCATGAGGAAGTACCGTTCCTCCTTGTTTGACGGGGGTGCTTTTACCCTTGTATTCGCTCTCTGCCTCGCACTGTGAGTGGGTATAACCAGGCATCCCAACAGCGGCTCACTGATGGCTCTTACAGGAAGGGAAGAGGTTTTTTTTTTCAAACGCGCCTTCCAAACTTTCCAGGTTCTCAAATAAGAAAAGAAGGCAAAGAGACAATGATTTGGGGATTCTTTTCTGTTCTGTGGTAATAGCTTTTACTTATTGTGGCATGCCCCCTAAAAATCCACCATGATGTCAGGAAACTGAATCTGCTCTGCAGTCTTAGGAAATTAAACCTGCTGGCTCCTCACTCCGGCCTTCTTCAGGTCTGTGCGTGTCTGATGTGCAGGGTCTCATTCACAAGGATGCTGGTTTACAAGGGTCCCTCAGAGCCTTTCTTCAAAGCCCTTCCATTCTTAGTATGCCTCCCCCAGTTAGATATTTGGGGTGCCTTAATCAGCAGTTAGAACTCCATCTTGATTTGTACTTTGTTGACTGAAGTTAGAGGTGGACTCATTTCAGAACGGGTTTTGTTCTTTAGTTTTACAATGTATTTGTAGTTCGCAGCTGTTACTATGACCTAACATCACTGAGTTAGACCCCAAAGTCATGTCATTTGCTAAAGGAAAAAAGTAGAGACCTAATTACTGTCCAGAAGTTATTTTCTTCTTTAGTATAAGTTTCCCACTTTGAGTAGATATTGCTGTTAACTTTTGCCTCTTACCCTGTTTGCTTACCTTCCAAAATCGAAACACTTTTCCCAGAGAATTATCAGCCTATTGAGTAGACTTCTGAATAATCTGTATCCTACCTGTCTCCTGTCGATCCTCAGACATAATTCAGGTACTTATCAACGACTCTCACATCTCTTCACCACATTCACTGTATCCATTTGTTGTCACCAGTATCTCCTTGCCTCAGATCTATGTGGTAGTAACCTTGGACAAATTCACATTTACGGATGGCATGGACTTTTAGAGGATCAGATCAATAAATAGGATTTTTCACCTTTTTTTGGACTGTTGTGTTCACTGTTTTAAACAGGAAATCTCAAGTACATTGACAGCACTCACAGCAAGCCATAGGCAGAAAACTGATTACATGTTCTGGTCCAAAGTTTCTAAGTCACTGTGTGACTTAGGGAGTCTAACAGATCAGCCTCTCTCCGTGGCGCTCACGGGAGGGACGCCACACTCAGAGGTTGGGCGTCCTTTCCTCGGTGCCGTAGGGAGGAATGGGGTCTCTGTGTGTGCTGCAGACCCTCACCATCCTTGGTGGTCACGGCCAGGGCCACGGGAGGACCGCTGATGCTGGAGGCGGTGCCTGCCCCACCGTAGGTAGGTGACCACTTTCTGCCCTTGCACCATCTCTCGACAAGGTTCCCATGGTCTTTACCCTTCCAGAGCCCAGCTCTGCCTTGAATCCATTGTCTCTTAGATTAATGCTGTGCGTTGTTTTTTATATGCAGAAAGTTGGAGATTTTATGTCTGCCTCTGTATCTTCGGTCATGATTTATGCTTAACAGCTGAGAAGGCATCACATATCAAGGGCTGTGATTTCAAGAGCCTTTTTGAACTCTAAGCTGAAGCCTTTACAATATATTGGGAGTGTGGCAGGGAAGATGACTTTTTTTTTAAAATTCAAATCCTATTTATATACTGTTAAATTTGAGGTACTATAGTTTATATAAAAGTTGAATATTTAGATGATATATTTCAGTATTAGGAATTTGTCTGAAGCCATTAATTAACATAACAAATTAAATAATAAGTATGAAGATGATTGTCAGTAAATTATCATATTGAATTTTTTGTTTATTTTGTAGTGTCTTGTATTTATCTGCACTTTGTGTGTATATATATATATACACACACATACATATACAAACATGTAAATAACTTCATGTTATTCCTTATCTGAATTGCCACAATTTCTTTAATGTATGTTTACACTGTATTTTAAATTACTTTAAAATAAACTATGTTTAGCACATTTTAATTTAGTCTTTGTCTTTGAAAACCCACTGTGTTAGAGGGCAGCTGTCTTGGATCCATATAGAGAAAAATCAAAGTTTCAGGTACTGTGAATGGTCATTTTGGGTATGGCTGAATGGAAAAATCATAACAGAACTGATAACTTTTTCCTGATAATTGGACTCTTCCTGAGCAACTGTAATGTTGGTACTTCCTAGTAATGCGGGTACTGGACTTCCCTGGTTACACAGTGGATAAGAATCTGTCTGCCAGTAGAGAGGACGTAGGTTCAGTCCCTGGTCCCGGAAGATCCCAGCTGACTCTGAGCAGCTAAGCCGTGTGCCCCGGAGCCCACACGCTGCAGCTGCTGCAGCCGGGGCTCCAGAGCTTGTGTTCCTCAACAAGAGAAGCCACGTCCATGAGAAGCCCGCGGACCGCAGCAAGAGCACCCCTGCTTGCTGCAGATAAAGCAAGCCCGAGGACGGCAACAGAGACGCAGTGCAACCATAAATAAAAACTAATGAAAATTTTAAAAGGAATAATAATGCAGATGTCTACAGGAAAAAGAAGCAAATAAATCATAAACAAATTATCCAAAAAACAGCTATGTAGGCTTACCTGAAATAAAATAAATACATGAAAGTTCACAAGTGTACTGTGAAAGAAGAGCATGCATGCTCAGTCGTGTCTGACTCTCTGTGACCCACTGGACTGCAGCCCTCCCAGCTCCTCTGTCCATGTTCTCTGTCCAGGCAAGAGTACTGGAGTGGGTTGTCATGCCCTTCTCCAGGGGATCATCTGACCCAGGGATGGAACTTGTGTCTCTGCAGCTCCTGAATTGCAGGCAGATTCTTTAGCACTGAGCCACCAGGAAGACATATCAGCATGCACATAATCCTCTTAGATGTTTATTAGTTTTGTCACTCTTTTGGTCATTGTTCAGCTTCCCAGGCAGTGCTAGTGGGAAAGAATCTGCCTGCTAATGCAGTGGAGGCAAGAGACAGGAGTCTGATCCCTGGGTCGATCCCCTGGAGTAGGAGGTATTCCTGCCTGGGACGGAGAAGCCTGGCAGGCTGCAGTCCTTGGGGCTGCAAAGAGTCAGACACGACTGAGCACGTGGTCACTCTGACTTCTAGCTAGAAATTTTACTTTTCTCCCTCAAAAAAGAGTATCATGTGTTTATTTTTTGGTGCTAAGTGGATTAGATTGTAACAAATCACATTGCAAAAACTAAGCCTGATGGGTTAGTAACAGAGTCTTTGGGCATACAACCTGATTTATTCAAATGAACTGTAGCTTCCATGTCAAGAGGAGAAGCAATAAATTCATGACAAAGATCTGTTGGAATAAAAAGATAGTAAAGTGATAAATTCCCATATGATTAAGAAGGAAAGGACTGTAGGATAGGTATTAGAGATCATTGTGGATCAGCTACTGTTTGAGAGTGTTAGGTTAGAAGGAACTGGCCTAGATGGAATCCCTTATAACTGATATTTTAGAAATAATTTTTTAAAAAGGTACTATATAGATCCTAACAGGCACATCTGGAATGATTTAAACATCAAAATAAGTCATGTAGTATTGGCTAATTGGATTATAACCTGAGGTGTAAAATGTCCATAACCACACTGATGCAAGGAAATGGCAATAAATTTCATTTATATAGATAAATGCAAACTAGAGAAGAGACAAATATTCTGTACAGAAGAATTTCAAATAACAATTGATATTTTATTATTTTTTCCTCTAGGGATTTGAATTAAACCCTTCCCCACTTAAGGATGGGCTAGGTTTAATGACTAGCTTCTAAAAATAGAGTTCAGAAAAAGTATTGTACCTTTACAGAGGAGAAGGCTGGCAGACAAGATCTTAACCAAGTGATACAAATTATCATCATGGATATTGTGTGGTTGTCTTGTAACCTGTAAGACGATGTGATGAGACGAGCATATCACTTCTGCGGTTTTCTTTCCCAAAACCCATAACTCCAGTCTAATCATCAGAAAAATGTCAGACACATGCAGATGCAGAACATTTTACAGGATAGATACTAGGTAAGTATGTCTCAAGATTGTCAAAGTCTTGAAAAATAAGATAATACAGAGAAAGTGTCACAGATCAGAGGAGACTTGGAAGACTAGATCCATGGATTGCATTCTAGAAAGGAAAGAAGATATAAATGAAATAACTGATGATGTCCAAAGAAAATCTAAAGTTTAGTTAATAATGTAAAAATTTAAAACAGTAACAGAAAGTAGACACAAGATAGTGACATGAACTGGGGGTACCTTATTTGTGGAATTTAAGTTGCTTTTGTTCAAGACGAATACTTTTAATTGTATCCCCCTTCTAAATTGGGATCTGTGTGTGGGACATGTTGCCTATTCATCACTGAATCCAGGCACTAGATCAGAGCTTGGTCTACAGTAGGGTCAGCCCCTTCCATTAAATGAATGAATCTACTAATAAACATTTCTAGAGTTTGGAGAATCCACTTGTGTTGCTTTTGTGTCTATGTCTCCTTGCCCAGGAATAATGGGATTCATTCTTTGACATCCCCTAAATGCATGGTTTTACACTGGAGTGAGTTATATATTGATGGAGAAAACATACACTTCCTCATGATCATTTTATAATGTTCTTACGTATAGAGATTATACAAGACTTGATCTTCTAAGAAGGAAAAGGCTATCCACTCCAGGATTCTGGCCTGGAGAATTCCATGAACTATACAGTCCATGGGGTCACAAAGAGTCGGACATGACTGAGCAACTTTCACTTTCACATCCATACATGACTACTGGAAAAACCATAGCTTTGACTAGACGGATCTTTGTTGGCAAAGTAATGTCTGATCTTCTGATAGACCTGCAAATATTTGAATTAAGCTGGATGATTTGGCGTCAGTGTGGAAGCGCTCAATTTTCTAAACCATTCCATACAAAATAACACCCAAAATTTGAAAATTAAGCTATGCTAAACTTACAATTGAATTTCTTGGGCCAGAGAAGTTGAGTTCTTAAAATTGCAAAACACAGCAGTTCTTCCTATTTAAGAAAAAAAAAAAGACAATGTAGATGAGAACATTTGAAACCTCTTCGTATGGGACACCCTTGGGAACACAAGTTCCCAAAATACTGATTGAATACTTACAAATGCTGTTTCTAGGTGTTTGATGTCAATGAGCCAAGCATGGTGTTCAGCAGGGCTCTGCTGGTTGATAGAAATAAGTTACCTGAAACTTTCTACCTTTCCAAATTACCAGGAGCCAGTCTACTAAAGAAGATTCCCTGGGTCAGCCTGAGCTAGAGAAAGGAAAATAATAACATATTTCCCAATACTCATCATGGATTTTGATATCACTAAGTCATGCATCTATAGACAAGCTTATTTTTCACAGATTGAGTGCAGTCATATGTTGCCTTAGCAACTACCATTCAAATGTCTCTCAAACATTTTTGGAGCAACAAAAGCAGAAACATTTCTTCAATAATTCATGCTTGGAACCCAGTATGTAAACACATGAACCCAGTGGGTACATCTCCATGTGTCCCTGCATCAAGGCCCACAGCCTTTGGCTTCTGGAATCCTTGAGGCTTCTGAGAGCAAGATTTAGAAATGAGTCAAAGTCTCTCATACCACTAATTAGAAAACTGAGGGCTGTGTCAGTGTGTTTTCAGTGGAATCCTGGAATCCTCTGCTACAATCTGACCACTAATTTTTAGATGTGTGGGGAGGACAATTTCTTATATGCTTTGACCTTTGAAAAGTCTTAACTTTATCTGGAAAGGATATCCTCTGATTAAGGGTGTTTTCCCTGATGTGTACCCGTGGAACGGGAAGGCAAAAGATAATATTCACCAGCATTGGCTATTATAAAAGGAAGAAAAAAATTATTTTTGGTGTGCAAGAATTTCTGAAAAGTAGATATAAAGTATCTAGCCCAATGCCTTGTACCTAGTAGATACTACTGGATAATAATTATTATTAGGTGTATGATGATTTTGCAACTTTCTGATGTAAATGGCAAAAGACCCAGTGAAACCTTAAATTGTAATAATAGACATTAAACATGGCACCAAAAACATGGTACATAATCACTGATCCTTCCAACTACTAGACAGACATTGGATGTCTTTTTTTTTTTTTTTTTTAAGAAAACTGAGGCTAAAAGGCTATTTTCTCCAACTTCCCAGAGGTCAGATAGTTGACGGTGGTAGCATGGACTCAAGCCCACGTGTCTGCTTTAAAACCCAGTAGTCTTTACAATCAGTGTGTTGTTTAGTCACTAAGTATGTCTGACTCTTTCACGACTCCATGGACTGTAGCCCGCCAGGTTCCTCTGTCCATTTGATTTCCCAGGCAAGAACACTGGGAGTGGGTTGCCGTTTCCTCTTCCAGGAGATCGTCTTGACCCAGGGGTCCAACCTGGTCTCCTGTGCATCTCCTGCATTGCAGGGAGATTCTATACAGCTGAACCACCAAGAGCTACACTAAGTGGGTATGGTAAAAACTCACAGACCACTGCATTTGAAACAGGTCTTTGGCAAACTCAACCTTACCCAGAAGAAAGCTGAAGATGGAGAGAGGAGGCAAGCCCTGTTCTGTGAAAATTGTTTTAGACCAAAGTATTGCTACTCCATGTATAACCTTGAAGCCATACAAGAGCTGTTTAGAGATGTAGACTCCCAGGCTTTCTGAAGCAGCATCTGATTGTAATAAGATTTCAAGTGCATTTGTATAAACACCACACTTGAAAAGCACTGATTTATTGAAATTTTGATGAGGCTTTCAGGGAGATTTAAGGGCAAGAAGAGACAGAGCTTATGTCTTATTATTCTAAAGGCCAAAGATAAGACCCCTTGGAAGAAGTCACAAAAATTGATGCAAAACTTTTTCAAAAGTAGTTTTATCACTAACACTTCAAGGAGAGAACTCAAATGACAACTTTCCATCATAGTGTGTAAGTGCATCTGGATGATGCATTTGTCAGGGCTTCACAAAGAAAAATAGAAAAAAGAATTT